CCCCTAAACATAGACTTCTATAAGATTATTTTTATTGAACTTGAACATTTATAAAACACAAAATATTAATATGCACGATACTTCATAGGGAAATTGAGACTTTATTTTTATTTTACAAAGAAAAAAATTTAGGGCCTTATTTTTTCGGGGCCTAAGGCCACCGCTTTGATGGACTTAGGCCCCAGCCGACCATGTATAGTCAGAGATTTTAGTTTCATTAATTTGTAGTGATTGATAGTAAACATAATGAAATAACATAAAAAAATAAAATGAGAAAATTTTACATGTCCAATTTTTTTTAGGCAAAAAATAGACATGTAGTACTGAAAAATTATTTTTCGGTAATAAAGTTAGAGACGGGTGTTGAGTTAAATTAAGCATGCACTAATTCCACACGTAACAATCACTGGCAGATTGACGTTACTACCAAATCTGAGTGTTTTTAGGACACCTTTAATTTCCTTTAATGGGTGATTGATTTTCCAATACTTTTTCATTTGTCCAATCTCTTATTGATCGTATGAAATCCGGTTTGGTGCTAAACCATGGGTTAGGTAGGCCCAAGGGGACAAGTCTCTATCATGGTCCAACATGCCATCAGCTATTTCTGCAGCCAAAAAGGACTAATTGATCTAAGAATATTAACCACTTAAATTTTTATTTTGAATTTTTTTTGTCTAAAGTGCGAGGAAATGTTCTTCTACTCAAATGATATTTCGTGGGTTTTAGTTGTAATTCATTATTAGATACTGTTATTAAAATACACCCTTAGTCCATTTCTTTTTCGCTTCTTAACCAAACAAACATGATGTTCTATTGTTTTTTTTAATTAGACAAAAACATGATGTTCTAGACGTCTCCCTTTTATCATCCATCCACTTTTGTGTTTTACCAAACCAACCATTAGTTTCTTTTATTATCCTAGAAGAGCAATTGACAAGCTCAAGCTCTTTGTTGTTTAGCTTCGGTTAGCTAAATGACTTTTTTAGTCCAATGATGTGGGCTAATTTTTATAAATATGTGGTTCAAGCTTTTGCTTGGTTGCCAAGAAATTAATTCTAAAATGTGCCCTAACTTTTCAAAGTAAAATCGGACACCCATACATACAAGAATGTACACAAAGGAAAGAAGACAATATGACTGTCTCTAGGCCACTTTTATTTTTTGTGACGATTGTTGAAAATTATAAATTTCGTAATTTTATCAGTAAGTTTATGCGTGTACCTTTTAAGAAGTGGAGTCTAATTTAATTGAATTTTTTGTCATGTAATCCAAACTATTTTTTTTATATATAATTATATCACCTCTTGTATCTTGCACGTTACCTAATCGAAGCCGAACAAGAGCTATTATTTTTCTCATGGGTAAATTTAACTTTTCTTCTATAGAATCCACCACACCCACCACGGATAGTGAACCAAAAACAATGACTAAAAAATCCAACTCTTCTTTCATCCACAATTATATAACAAAATACATATTCATAGAAAAAGAGAAAGTGATTGTTTTTTAGTTCATTGTCTTTAGTTTACAAAATCATTCGTCAATCTAAATAAAGATCTTTTAGAAATTTTATAAAACACAATCAAATCATATCTAAATTTTAAATATCAAACAATAGATTCAAAAAGAGGGAGAAAGTGTTTTTAGTTAACTCTCATTGAGTTTGCCGTCTTGTAGTTCATCGTCGGTGGTAGTGGTAGTGGTAGTGGTGGATGGTGATAGTAGTGGTAATAAATATAATGTGGAAAAACATTAAGCGATATAGTTTAAGTTTTTAAAAAACCTCATCTATTAAGGGTATTTTTGTCAACCTCCTATATATGTATATTGTGAATTATTTTTAATACTCATACATTATGGCTGTAATAATAATAAGAGACGTAAACTGTAGCTAAATTTGAACGAGATAATAAAATATTAACATAATTAATTGTTATTTAACACAACGTATGACTTCTAATAAAATAAAATAAATTAACTAAATCTAAACTAATTGATCACCCATAATATTTTCAATTAGGATGTCAGAGGCAAAGATTGGCTCTTATATGTCCCTCTGGTTCGGATTTTATTTAATTTTATTTTTAAAAAATACTATTTACACTTAATTTGAGGACTTAATTTAGACATCTTATCAACTATGACTATTTTTTTTTTTTGGATTGAAACGATAGAAATTTTATTAAGAAGCTAAATCTGATAGAAGAGATAGTATCAAAAAATTTGGTGCCATTTCTTTCTAAAACATCAATATTTTCACCTAATTTGACCTTTCGAGCAAGTTGGTGAGCCACATGATTTCCTGATCGTCTAACAGTGGATAAAGAATAAAAAATAAACATGCGAAGAAACTGCTGCACATATGCAATAATAGTGCCAATAGGAGAAGAATCTTCCGAATTATCGTCAATCCTCTTCGTGATTACATAAGAATCCCCTTCTGACACAATCTCATCACACCTAATTTGCTTAGCAAAAAGCACAGTTTCCCTTGAAGCCATTGACTCTGCAGTTTGCGCTTCTTCCAAACCAATTAACTTCTTAGACAACCCAACAATGAAACTATGTCTATTGAAATTGGAATCCCTCTAACATTAAAACTGGCAATTAATTCAATAAATGAATTAAGTTAGATATCTCTCCAACTTAATAGAAATTTATGCTTAATCAAAATCAAACACATTTTTTTTTTTATTATAAAATCAAACACAATTTAAAATTGAGAGATTCCGAACAAACAGACAATCCATGAAGCTAGAGTCCGAGACATTCAAGTCACCATCCAGTTCCCAAAAAAATACACCCAGTTTAGGAAAGAAAAAAAGGAGGAATCTTACTTTATACCCCCAAAAAATATAATTTTCTTATTTTATACCCAAAAGAATGAGATTTTTTATATTATATCTTAAATATATTAAAAGCGATGCAATAAGTCCCTTTAATTACCTTCTGGTGCTTATTCTATCAAAACTCATCCCATTAAAGTGGATGAAATAAATAACAAAAAGTAATAGAATATCACATTGCAACACTTTAATAATTCTTGATGTAAAACAATTAATCTTTTAAGGAATAAAGTAAAAATTATTAAATCTTTTAGATGTCAAGTGCAATTCTCCAAAGAGAAAAAAGTCATTAGCCATGCGTCCTTAGCCATAAACTTACGTCCCCATTGCTCTCCGCCTCTCACTGTGTCTTCTCACCTTAGCCTTCGTATACCAATGGAGGGGAGGAGAGAGATGGAGAACGGATCGCCGAGATGGGGTTTTCGAGGGAACGACGAGTTGAACATGGCCTCGGAGATCACAATCAGAGGTATGCTCAACTTGTTGATGAGAAATCTCAACGAAGCAGACCACAGAACCACCATTCCTCTCGGCCACGGCGACCCCTCGGTGTTTCCGTGCTTCCGAACCACTTCCGTAGCCGAAGACGCTATCGCCGACGCCGTCCGGTCGGGGAAGTTCAACGGTTATTCTTCTACTGTCGGTATTCTTCCGGCGAGGAGGTACTTAATTTTAATTTTGTCACTATCTTACATCTTTTAATACTCATCTTTTCTTTATAGCTCGTTATCATACCGATGGCATATGTATTTTTTTCTTACTTACTCATTATGTACCTCCACGCTAACAAATCTAACTTCAGAGCATTTACCAATATATATATATATATACTAGTTATAATTCGTGCTTTCAGGCACTATAAAATATAAAATTCGAGCGTCTAAAAAATTAATCTCATTATATTAATTTTTTTAAAAATATATTAATTATAAATTAATTAAATATTCAATGATTAAATATATAATAGAAATGAGTGATGTGATATTTTTAAAAAATAAATATATAAATGATTAAACATATGATACAATAAGTGATGTGATTTGACGTTTGAATTTGACAAATGGATGATGAATGATGTAAGTGAGTGATGATGATTTTATGGGAGAAAATATGACTGGAACAAAATTCAAACACACTCCTATTTTATTATATAAATATACATATATATATATATATATATACACACACAGTATTTGCCACTCAAAACACATAATTTTTCATAATTGAGCAACACTAACGGTACAGGGGAGTTTAGAAGGCCAATAAACTGAGCTCATACACCGTCACCAAAATGTTTTGGTTTTTTTAGAGGCCCCGGAGGCTTGCCCTTTCCTCTTTTCTGCAATATCACTTATATGAGTAGACTGGAGCTGACGCAGCAGAACAAAGGAACACAAATAACGTTATGATTCTAGGTGTATAAAATGTACACACTTTAAATCCATAGAAAAAGGAACAAGAGAATATCTCAAAAAGAGATATATTATTCAATAAATGATCTGTATTACATACGAGCATAAATAAAGAAATAGCCAAAACCATAATTGTCCCCACGTAAAATTCCTAATTATACAAAAATTATCAAAAATGAAAAATTACAATTTAACTAATTAACATAAAAACACGTGTCATCTGAAATCCAATCCAACTGACGGCACTGAATTTAAAATCTTTTATGATTTATTATTAATTTTTAAATTCTTTCCTAAAACAACAAAAAGGGAGTTTTGAGCGCTTCAACGATGGAATTTGATCCAAAAATGAAGGTGTTCATGGCTAAGCCATGAGTCTTGATTGTTGGCCC